AGTGCTCAGTAACTCTTACTTGGAGCAGACGACTTGTCTAACTAGCTGTGCAGCTGATCTAAGCAAATCTCACTCTTGGCCATGTGCAGAGCCTGTAAGAGCATGTGGAATTTGGGAATCATTCTTCCCATGCTGCAGCTTCAGTCACATTGATGCATGCTCGCCAGGCTGTGTCATGCTGACAGAACTGGTGGCTACTGGGCAGGCAAATGTTTAGGGAGTGCTGATTGTTTGAGTGGCTGCAAGCCTGCAAGGCACTCATATGCTATAGCTCAACCAGAAATGATGGGCTTGATGAAGGAATTATTGGGTGAAATTCTGTGGCCTGTGTTATGCATATGGACAGATGACATTGTCATAATGGTCCCTTCTGACCTTCAAATCTTATATAGCTTTTGAAAGTGAGATAAAAGTCAGATCCTGACCCCCGAGTTTACTAAAAGAGCCCTGCGCGGATACAGATTTTGTATCCGCATCCAATCCATGATCCACAAACGGGGTCTGTGGATATAAAGCGGATATCTTCAGATTTGCAGGGCTCTACCCATGGCATTTTGTGTCTAATCTAAAAACTTCTGTGGTGACTGAAGAACTAGTGAAATTATGGTTTCGTCTAAAGAGATAAGACTGAAAGCTGAGCTGCTGAGAGGACAAGGGATTTTTAAGACAGACTTTTAAAAAAGTTTTATGTTTTTGTTTTGTATTTCACACTATTTATCTCCCAGTGCTTAAGGAAAAGCATGTCTTTGTTTAAGATTCAGCATCCTCGCCTCTTCAGTTTATCTGTCATAAAGAAGGGAAAATTGTAGATGAAAATTTCCTAACTCAAAAAGTGTTGCATCCAGCCTGGGGGAATTCTATATAAGACCTCTTCTTGACTGATAAAGAAGAATTTATCTCAGAATTAAAAATTAATGGTTCCTTAGGTACCAGTGATTGTGACTTGATCATATTTACAGAATATAGTCCAGTAATATATGTATTTGACGCTTTAAAAGGTCACATTCACAAATCTGAAAACAATTATGAGCCAGATCAGGTGGAAGGAAGAATTTAAACAGAAAAATGTGAATGATAATTGAGAATTATTCAAGAACCCTTTACTAAATGTCCAACGTACCACAATCCAGGAAGAAGGCTGTATTGGTTAAAAAACCAAACTAGTGTAGAGGGGAAGCAAGAGCAGCTATAAAAGAATGGAAGAAAGGGGAAGTTGATAGACATGAATATAAATTAGAAGCGAGGAATTGTAGAAATTTGATAAGGGAAGAGTTAAGGACAATAAGGAATTCTTAAATCATATTAGGAACAAAAGGAATCCTAACAATGGTATTGTTCCTTGACTAGATGTAAGTGGTAGAATTGTCAGTTATAAAGCAGAAAATCCAGACGTGTTCCATAAGTATTTTTGTTCTGTATTTGCGCGGGGTGCGGGGGTGTGTGTGAATCAGATGTATTCATCATGAGAATTGGAAGTTTTAAGAAGAGACTTTATTAAGGGCACAAGAGCCAACTATCCCAGCGTGCAGGAAAGACAGGAAGTATGGTAAGTGATCACCCAGGGTTAACCAGGAGATCTTCAATGACCTGAAACTCAAAAAAGAGTCCTACAAGAAGTGGAAACTAGGTCAGATTACAAAGGATGAATATGAAAAAACAACACAAGCATAGAGGGACAAAATTAGAAAGAGCAAGGCACAAAACAAGATTAAACTAGCTAGGAGCGTAAAGGATAACAGGAAAACATTTTACAAATATCTCAGAAGCAAGAGGAAGACCAAGGACAGAGTAGGCCCGTTACTCAATGAGGAAGGAAAGACAATAGCAGAAAATGCAGCAATGGCCAAAATGTTAAATGCCCTTTTTTGTTTCAGTTTTCACCCAAAAGGTTAGCAGTGAGCAAATGACGAGCATAGTCAACGTCCCTGTAAATGGGGTAGGGTCTGAGGCTAAAATAGGGAAAGAATGAGTTCGCCTTGGTCTACACTAGTAACATGTTGTGAACAATCCACATCCCTGACCAGTGCAGTTCTACTGACCTAACTCCGGGGTAGACAGCGCTGTGTTGATGGGAGGGCTTCTGTAGCCTCTCGGGGAGGTTGATTACCTGCACTGACAGGAGAAGCCCTCCCATCGGCCTATGTAGCGTCTTCACTGAAGCGCTAGAGTGGCGCAGCTGCAGCCTTTTTAAGTGTAGCCAAGTCCTTAAGAATTACTTAGACAAGATGTTTTCAAGTTGTCAGAGCCTGGCAAAATACGCCCTACAATACTTAAGGAACTGTCTGAAGAGATCTCTGAGCCATTAGCAATTATCTCTGAGAACTTGTGGAGGACGGGAGAGATCCCAGAGGACTGGAAAAGCGCAAGTGTAGTACCTATCTGTGAAAAGGGAAATAAGGACACCCCAGGGAATTATAGACCAGCCAGCTTAACTTTGGAACTCAGAAAGATAGTGGAGCAAATAATCCATTTTTACTCTCCTAGGGCAGTGGTTTTCAAACTTTTTTTTCTGGTGACCCAGTTGAAGAAAATTGTTGATGCTGCGACCCAACGGAGCTGGGGATGAGGGGTTTGGGAGGGGCTCAGGGCTGGGGCAGCGGGTTGGTATGTGGAGATGGGGCTGGGAATGAGGGGTTCAGGGTGTGGGAGGGGGTCAGGGCTCTGGGGTGGGTGTGCAGGCTCTGGGGTGGGTCTGGGGATGAGGGGTTTGGAGTGCAGGAGGGGGCTCCGGGTTTGGGGGGCTCAGGGCTGGGGCAGGGGATTGGGGCGCGGGCTTACCTCGGGCGGCTCCTGGTCAGCGGCGCAGCGGAGGTGCTAAGGCAGGCTTCCTGCCTGTCCTGGCACTGTGGACCGTGCCCCAGAGATGGCCTTTCTGAGGTATAGCATAGGGGCGGTCTCTTAAAACCAGTAATTGATAAAGTACAAGCTCTAACCATATGCCTTGTCCTCCAAACAAAAAGGCAAGTGAGGCAGTTCTTGGGCCTGCTGGGATATACCAGAGGCTTATCTCTAACTTCACTTCACTCATGGCCCTCTAACAGACCTTATAAAAAGACAGTAACCCCAGAAAACTCCAGTGGGATGGGAATTGTGAAGATGCTTTTAACACATTGAAGCCCCGCCTGTCAGTTGCCCATGGTTTTTAATCTTGACTTTTTGCAAGAATTTATATTCCATACAGATACAGATGCCTCAGCTATCGGAGAGGGCCCTGTGCTTTCACAGGACTTTGCAGGTGAGCAGCACCCGGTCCTGTATTTAAGGAGAAGATTGCTCCCTGGGGAGAGGGCCTTTTCAATTATCCAAAAACAAGCACTGGCAATTGAAGTGATTTGTAGATTTTCTCAGTACTACCTGCTGGGTAATCCCTTCTCATTGATCACTGACCATGCCCCCGGCATTGGTTGGATACCGTGAAGGACTCGAACCCACATATAATGCAGTGGTACCTGGCACGTCAACCTTATAGGTAAAGATCGTGTTTTTTCAAGGGAGGTCGGAGACGCGGACACTTTGAACCAGGAACTGCTTCCCATTTTGACGGATGGAGCATGTGATAGGGCACACCTTAATCCCAGCCAGGAAAAGGTTAATGAGGTCCTCTGGGCTCAGCTGACACTAAATAGGCATATGAGCAGAGCCTCTCCACTGGGAGGAAATGAGCTTAAAAGGGAGACTGTCACAGGAAGGGGTGGCAACCAGGAGGGAGACTGCTGTGCTTCAGAGTTTGCTGATTCCTGCAACAAAGCTGCTGGGAGGAAGATCACTTGTGAATCTCTGCTGCCTATAAGAGCCCACCAGAGAAGGCCCAAGCTGATTGCAGCACGGTGGGGTTGAAGATAAGCCCTGACCTGGAGTCTAGCTGTATTTAACCTTCATAAGCAAGCTAGGCCTCTATAGACTCTCTTGAAACACTCAGAGACCGAGTGTCCCCCTAATTGTAAGGACTTTTAAAGGAGAAATACCCAAATGGGACCTACAAAAACCCAGTTTATCACAGGATGACTTGATCACATTCGATAAGTACCTACATGGGGAACAGAAATTGGATTATACTGTAGAATCTTCTTCAGTGTAGCAAACAGAGGTCTAACGAGATCTAGTGGCTGGGAGTTGGAGCTAGACAAATTCAGATTAGAAATAAAGTAAAATTATTTTATACCTCAACAACCTCCCCCAGCAATGGGGCATTATTATTAACTATTCATGATTTGTTTTAAATAATGTGTATTCTGGCTGTGTCTACATTTTGTGAGGGCTGTCAGCCAATGCAGGCATGCACAGAAAGAGACAGTCCCTGGCCCAAACAGGATCAGCATTCAGATCCTTTTTTTGTATGATGTAGATAGCAAGCTGAAGGTTCTCCCACTTCTCAACACATGTGAACCCTCTGGGTGCTCCAAGCATGAGACTTTTGCTGCGCTACACAGCTAAACAAATAAACAAATCCCATGCTGAACACGTACGTGTACCTGTCTGTCAGGTTTCACATGTATAAATCATTTCTTTTTCATCAGCTAATCACCAGCTGAGATTCTCTAACTTCGAACAGCACCCTCTTTTGCTAGATGCCTGTTATCGTCTGTAACGCTGGGGAACAGTGGGCATGCGTACCTGACTGGTGAAGAGGTTCATGTTCCTCCTGATGGAACATAGCAAGGGGGATTACCTCCTTAAAACGAAAGGAGAATGCAAGAAACACATTGCAATGATTTGTAGTTCTCTGCCTTGGAATGGCAATGGGGGTATCGCTTAGAGTGACCTCTGTAGGCCATAGATGCCGGACTGTGGTGTATTTGCCCATATTTGCCAGGTGGCATGTGGTTCCTGCCCCAGTACAACTAAACGTACTCTGAAGGTATGGATTGATTCATATGCACATTAAAACGTAGAGTATGCAGCCTCTACATGATAAATGGGCAGAGGAAAGAGAAGCCTCTTGTAAACAATTCATGGATTTTTTTAAAAGGGGAAAATGAACTTGTACTCTTGTGTTACAGATTCAGTGGTTCTTTCCTTTGACTCCGTTGGACGTACAGTAGGCTCAGGTACAACATCCCCTTCTTCCCCCTCTATCTCCCTCACAAAAAGGCTTTTATTTAACTAGACTTGGTAGCCATGTTGGGAGGCAGATAACAATGAGTCAGATCTTGGCGCAGAATGACATTGAAAATTGGCTGTCTAACCAAACTGGCTAAATATATCCCTTCGTTATGAGCACTGGAAATGTTAAGGGACTTACTGTGGCATGAGGTCTTGTCTACCTTTGAAATGCTACAATGGCACAGCTGCAGGAATGCAGCTGCATTGCTTTAGTGCTTCAGTGTAGACACTACCTATGCCGATGGGAGGAGTTCTCCCCTCAGTTCAGGTAATCCACCTTCCTGAGAGGCCTGTCTACACGGCGACTTAGGTTGGCTTAACTACGTCGCTCAGGGGTGTGGATTTTTCACATGCCTGAGGGGCGTAGATGGGTTGATCTAATTTTCTAGTATAGGCCAGCCCTAAAACGTGAAACCACTTCCAATACTCAGGCCATGTCCACACTAGTACTTTTGTGGGTATAACTTACGTCGCTCAGGGTGTGAAAAAAACACCTTCTGAGTGACATAAGTTACACTGACAGAAGCCCCAGTGTGTACAGCCCGATGTCTGCAGGAGACGCTCTCCCGCCGACATAGCTACCGCTGCTCGTGGGGGTGGTTTAATGATGTCGACGGAGAGCTCTCTCCTGTCAGCATAGAGTGGCTATCTGAGCAATCTTGCAGCAGTGCAGCTGGCACCGCTGTGCTGCTCTGAGCTCGCTGCTGTAGATGTGAAGTCAGGCAGGCAGAGGAGCTGGGCGCACACAGTGAAGTTAATGGCCCAGTTGCTAGCGTGAAAGACAGTGAATTGATGTTGCCCACTGACGGGAACAACGGTTTCATTCTGCCAGGAGAGGTTCTCAGCTGGACGTGCAATTGAATTATGTGAGGGAAGGGTGAGGAGGAATGCTCGGAGGAGGGGAATTTCTATAGTTTCTCAAGCAGGGCTGTGATGTTGTTTTCTGCAGAGCTAAGCAGAGTTAATGAACCCAAGGGGAGCGTCTGGATGATCACATTCCTGTTGCCCTCTGAGTATGACCATGTGTATTACTGGCCATCACATAATTAAATTGAAGCAAAAAGCAAAATTGAAAGGGTCTTTTGTGCTTGGGCTGCTTCAGGGAACTAGTGAATATTAGCGTGGCTGTCTGCAGCACAACATGGTCTGTAGTTAAGGCACACTGCACTGAGGTAGACATTTCTATAGAGTAGCCACAACATTGGATAAAATTCACTTGACACAGTTTATAGTTGTGTGTGTAAAGTACCTACGCAGGGGTTCTCAAACTTCATTGCACTGCGACCCTCTTCTGACCAAAAAAAAAAATTGCTACATGACCCCAGGAGGGGGAACCGAAGCCTGAGCCTGCCTGAGCCCCATCGCCCCGGGCGGGGGTGGGCCAAAGCTGAAACCCAAGGGCTTCAGCCCCCGGGGGGCCTGTAACCTAAGCCCCGCTGCCCAGGGCTGAAGCCCTTTGGCTTTGACCCCAGGTGGTGGGGCTTGGGCTTCAGCCCCGGGCCCAGCAAGTCTAACACAACATGTCCTTTTATACCTGCTAAAAGTCTGACCTGATTCCCTTTCCTTTTCAAAAACGAAATGTGCTCCTGGATTTCTTTTGTCCAATACTCTTTCCTCCCAGGTTGGTAGGAATAGTTTGCTGCCTTCCAGCATGGTACTAGTCTTCTGCCTGTATGCGTATCAAACAAAGCCTGCTGCCTGGCACTACAGTGACGCTTGTGCAGAGAACTCAGAGTTACTCCGGCCTTGGTGTCATTCGGTTCATTTTTAAGCCCGAAATGCATTCTGATGTTCTTTCATCATTCTCTGATCTGTCAAGAGTGCATGATCTGATTCAGGAACAGCTTAGGGTTGCTGGCACTGCGTGCAGAATGGAAATGACGCCAGGTTTTGGTGAAAACAGTTGTCTTGGTGCTTTGCATTAACCCCTCCCCCAAACCCTGCCACACTAACTACTGTGCAGAGTTTTCTCTTGTACTAAAGGACAGTTTCTTTAATCCTCAGAAGTGGGCAAGAATGGAAAAGATTAAAAGTATATGAAATCTCTGGGTGAATTCAGAGGGGCATAATTCGATCTTGGTTTCCCCTGAATCTTTGCTTAGCTACTTACCGCTAATTCCATGGATAATTTGAGTTTGGCATACCTTTACAGAATCCTGACCGGTTACTCATCAATGTGGAGTTATAATATTATCTTCCTATGTGCCAGTTTTCTATGAATGTTAAAAATAGGAGCGTTATCACCGGAATGGGGTGTTACAATTTGAGAGATAATAAATAATTAGAAATTTAATTTATTCATGAAAAAACAAATTCTCTTGATGAGTGTCTCTGAAGTCGTGTTTTTGTGAGGGTGGGGAACAAGGCTAGTTGTAAGCAGGCTGGCTCGCTGGCACTATTTGAAGAGACAAGTCCCTGTCCTCTGACATCTGAGGGAGAGCAGTTGGAGTCAGTAAAACACCCTTCTGTAACTCCATCTCCCCCAACAAAATCCAATTTCTCCCTTCTTACTATGATGCAACCTGCTACTCAGGAGAGAGGGGCTGAGAAATGCCCAAGAGAATAGGTTTTCCAGAGATCTGTGTGCTAAATTGCCCTTGTATTAAAACCCTTGGATTTATTATGCTGCAAATTCTAGCTCATGCTGAGAATTGAGACATCAGTCTGTGTGTGGTCTCTGCCCACTGAGGGATAGCTTTCCTTGTTAAACAGGAAGGAGAGAGAGAAAAACTGTGACTCTTGTTCTTCCGCCGTCCATCCCATCACACCTTGCTGCGAACCCAGGAACTGGCAGTGCCCAGAAAGAACCTATAGCTGCACCAGGCCCAGCCATTCCGAGTAGGTGTTGTTTCAGGTCGGGGTATAAAAGGGGGAAAAGTTGAGTATTAAAAAAAAAAAAAGTTTAATCAATTAATTATTCAAGATGAAGCTGTCAATCACATCATCATTCCTAGGATTTCATATTTTAAACAAGCACAAGGAAACTTTCTATTATTACCTATCAGCTCTGTGTTCTTGGGGAACCAGGGCGCAGTGTCCAGCCTGTCTGACTCATGAAAGACCTACCCCCCTCGCCCCAGCTTCTGCTTGAACCAAAGCCGATCAGAAGCAAGACTTACAAACAGCTATGAAAAGGCGGTGGAAGACTCACCTAAACCCCTCTGGACAAGGGTGACAGCTTGGAAGTGCTGCTTGACCCAGCCTGCTGAGTTGAGGGACATATAAGGGGTCAGCTTGGTAGTGCTGATTAACTCGGTCCTCTTAGACGCACTCTGTTAATGGGTGTGTGTGTGTGTGTCTGATTCTGGGGCTGGAAGAATCCAGCCCTAGGGAACCTAGGTCCTGCAGGATAGCTCCATGGGGAGGGAACTTGCAGAAGGGAGAAGTAGAGCTCCGTATGGGAACACAAGTGACACAAGCAGTACATTGATAGAATTACAGAAACCCCTCCCCCCCCCCGAAGAGTAACCCTAATAAATGACCATACCCCAAAGTAATGGGCAAATCTGGTAACACTATTTACAAATGGGCAGACTGGGTACTTCGTTTAACTTTTTAGAAGTGCTCAACTATAACCACTAATTCACGTTTTCCCATGGCCAGAATAATTTTTTGAATTGACTGTAAGACTTCATCTTGGTTTTGTATTTACTGTTCTGCTTATGTGCAATTCTCAACTTTCAGGGGTGCCGAAAGACTGCTGCACTATTAACTCTTCAGCAGGTGGAAGTCAGGGGGTAGTCAGGATAATGCGGTGAAATGTGCAGAAGGATTGTCCGGCGGTCACTGAGCACCTAGCTATGATTGATTCACAGAATAGCATTGGCATGGAGCCTGTGGCTAGCTGATGTGCTGAGAGATGAAGGAGTGAGGTTTAGAAGTGTAAAAAGACATATGGCCCTAAATAAAGGGGGTCCCTGAGGCCACATCATGATCTTGTCTGATAGTTGGGGCTGGATGTTTCTGGGGTTCTCTGGCCCATGCATCAAAGATAAGATCTTGAGCAGCAAGGGAAGGTTCATGCTTTAGTCCTGGGTGTATTGTCTGGACCAGCTTTTTAGTTGGGGCCAGACATAATAAGAACCCGTGTTCTGAACTCTGGGGACTTCAAAGCAGAAAACCAGAGTAGAGAGGGAGTTTGAGTGGGGCCTGGATCTCATTCACCTGGAATGGACGCTAAGTGCTTTTTTATAGTTGCTTTGTTTTACATTCAGATGCTGGCTACACCCACTTAGAGCTTAAAAATCAAATTTATATCTCTACTAATTTTGTCCAAGAGGTTGTTGGGTTTTTTTTCTGTCTGAGAGCAAGCAGATTAATTGCTCTGCTCCAGGCCTGGGGAGGATAAAGGTGCATTGACTGCTGGAAGCTATAGATTGAGCTTTACTCACCATCTTGCTAACATACAGATTGAAAGTGATAAGAGTTTTGATACATATATGCCTGTGTGTAAATCGTATCTGTGCACCTGTCAGAACGTGAGGTTTGATCCACAGTTGCCAACTTTCATGCGGTAAATAAGCACCCCGACTTCCACAATAAGCCAAAAATCAAGCTAATCCCATTTCAAAACAAGGCCAAAACAAGCCAGTCCCTAAGAACTCCCACACTCTGTGACTAGATTCCCCTGGCATGCGGTCTGGGACTGTGGTGGGCCCCCTGTGCTCTCTGCCCCTGCTTGCCCCTTGCCCCTGCTTGCCAGGAGCCGATCAAAAAAAAGAAGCAACAAGCTACAAGCCAAAAACTAGCCAACAAGCAACTCACAAGCCAATTAAGCCAAAAACAAGCCCAATTTCTGTGTTTTTCCCCCGTGGGTTTGGCATGTCTGGTTTGGTCCCAGCAATACCCTTTGTCATAATAGCAGCTGGTTTAAGCTGCTGGCTGGTTTAAGCTGCTTTGTTCAAGCAATTTAAATAGTATACAGGTTTTGAGCCTCCCACATATT